TGACCCGGGCTATAAATTCGTGACGGAGAATTCGTGTTTCCAATAAAGACCCAAGTCATCTCCACCTGCGACAGCGACATGAGGACCAGAAGGAGAACGCGGAACGAGAAAGAACGACTCTGCAGAGGCCATCAATCCGTTCGGAAACAGCAAAAGAAAACGCATCGCACCGAAAAGAGGCTTGGCGCGTCCGACGCTAGCCTCGTTCCTCGACGGCGAACACCCGTCGATGAAAACCAAAACCGAAAGCTTGTCCGGAACACGTGTCGAGCAGCGAGGTGAGGCGGGGGCGAGAAATCAAGAGAGTTCGTAGTCGCCGGCGCCGCTGCCTCCAGGCAACAATGTCATCTTCATTCACGATAAGGAATGAATGAAAAGAGAAGAAATAAGAGGGACCGATGCGGAAGGATGCGAATACTCGGCAAGCATTCCGTCGGGAACCCGGCGTTGCTGCGCGAGGATGAACCTCCAGACTGAGAGAGTCGGAACGCTCGATTGTCTGAAGCCGAGCTTCGAGCCGCTGAAGAATTCAGAGGACTTTATTTTTAATGAGGTGGCGTGTCTCGCTGAGCCGCTCCACCGACTAGGCATCCGCCTCAGAGTGAGCATTTGAATGAAGACGCAGTCCGACGCTCAACTTCAATGATCGATTGAGCATCGCGAGGAATAGACGGCGATCCCGTCGATTCGGTGAGCGATCCCGTGACTGGAGGAGAGAGAGGCTTGCAACTCGCAATACCCTGGGGTACAGGTACAGATGCTGAGAACCTCTCGGGACGGCAAATCGCTCTCGAGGTGTTGCCAAGTTGATTCTCGGCCCACCGCTTGTCAGAGAGGAGCCAGCGGCACCGGAATGTCACGGGACTTGTCGATCAGGCGATCGGAAACGAACGTGCACGCTTGGAGAATTATGGTAAAATTTCAAAACCTTGAAGATGTTGATGTTCGACTCGACCGTATAACTTTTACAGAGATCTGGCAGCAACGCGAGATCGTCGAACATTCGCTTGATGCTGGAGTTTTTATGACCTGATCATTGGTTCGTTTCGTTGCCGGCAGACTTATGGGAAGCCGTAAACTGGCGCACAACGCGATCAGGAAACAGACAGGAAATACCGATAAATACGAGTTCGGCCTATCTCCGCCGTTATTATGCCATCCTATTGAATGGTGGACCGTCGCGGGACTGGGCCAAATGGTCAACGTATCCAATGCAGCCCTGGCTCACGTGATCCCTGCGTTCCACAAATTCAATGAAAACTATTCTGACCTTTCTAGAGTCAGGCTTAAGAGAGAACAGAGACAAAAGCTGGTCTGCTACTAATGGTTTTCCGAGCAATTGAACGTTTCAACTTGAAACCCTCAATTCTCTGGAAACCTCCAACATACGCCCTCCACTCGTAACTCTGATGAAGCCCCCATGCAGTGAACTATTAAATTCAGCTCGGCTTGGTGAGTCGAAGCTACTCGAGCGGTCGTCGATATTACGATGAGGGTTCCTGTCAGGCTTCCCGTGGGAGTTGCCGTGAGAACTCCTGGCAGGGTTCCCATCGGGTTCTCCGTCAGGTTCTCCGTGAGGATTCCCGTCAGGGTTTCCGTCAGGATCCCCGTCAGGGTTTCCGTCAGAATTTCCGTCAGGGTTTCCGTCAGGATTCCCGTCAGGGTTTCCGTGAAGATTTCCGCCAGGGTTCCCGTGAGGATTCTCACGAGGATTCCCGTCAGGGTCTCCGTCAGAATTCCCGTCAGGGTTCCCAATAGGATTTCCGTGAGGGTTTCCGTCGGCAGGGTCCATGTGGTCGAGAACTCGCAGGTACCGGCGTTATCGAACCGGGTCGATATGTTTTCTGGATCCCTCCCAAGAGGCAGAGTCCCGTGAGGGTGATACCGGGGACATTCAATTCCGGCCCAGTCGAAATTCGGTTCGCCCTCCCCCGTTGAATCTCCAGGAGGATATGACTCCCATGGAATTTCATGGAATCGGAAGCCGAGCAACGATATCTACATCCTCACAGGAAGGCATCGCCTGAACATGCAAGCGCCGACCCTGCAATCCCTGCTCGGGTTTCGGCTCTGGAGTATTGTTTGGGCTCGGTAATCAAGAGACCCAGGCTTTCCAGCAGTCGTTGTAGTGACCATCCAGTGAAAAACCACAAGCACCGTGTCGGTCTTGGTATCGCTGCCTGCCGGACTCATTCGCAGCCCTGCTTTCGCAGATCATTGCGACCAGGCGATCGAGGTTCGCGTACCGGACCACGGCAGAAAGATTTCCGGGGAGAGAAATTTGATATCAGAGCAAGTTGTACACTTCGGCGCATCGATCGGGAAGGTTTCGAGTCCCTACGACCTTGAGCTCCTTAATTGATAGGGCTTTCGATTGTGTCTCCGATTACACTCACTTCGGAGCTTCGATTTCGTGCTCTTTCGATGTTTCCGAGAAGAACAGTTGTTACGATTCCGGGCCGAGGCGGGGAACAACGACGAAACATCGATGGTAGCTAGGTAGAGCATTGCGTAAATTGCGATCTAGAAGCTCGGAGCCTCTGAAAGCGGAACAAGTGCTACGAGAAGTTCTCGTCAGGAGAAATAACCTGTCGGCATCGCGGCTAGATGCCAGGGTCCGCGCGTAACAAACGACGAGCACAACCTAGTAAATGAAGTGAGTGAGAAATCACGGATCAGACAGTTCGAGGCGGAATTTCCGTTCCGCTCTCTGAGAAAGGAATTCCTATCTGTCTCATGGACTCGTCTCACTGCTCCATGCGACAGTTTTATTGGCTGCTCGACAGCTCCGATAATTCGGCTCTTCTCGTTGGATGCGACACCCGGAGAAAAGTCCGCATGTTTACTCTTCAACAGATCAATTATCGCCCCCGACTACGGAGTAGTGGGTATTCCCATTGGGCTTATCCTTCTCTATTTCAACCAGGAGACCGGACCGAGATCTTGCTGGCGAGAACGGAACTCATTTTTTCGCTCCGTGGCGGAGTTGGTTTGATTTATGAAAGCGATAAATGTACCTACGATATCCATACTCTTCGTGAGAGTATTGAACCGAGCGTATTCAAGACAATCCAATCCATCATGCATTCTCGTATTGTGCCGCCGACTCTCCAAAGTACTGAGGAGGGAGATGACTGCTGCGAGGACCGAACTCGGTTCCGAGAGAGCGGAAATCCCAACTTCCGCGATGACAAAGAGAACGGATCGTGAGATGCCCGTCGGAACCAAAACTTGGCGGATAAGGGGACCGGCCTTGACCCGAGATCTTTTCTGAAGACAGTTGATGAGAGCTTTTTTCCCGGTCAGTGATCGCCTCGTAGGCCCCGTGACGACCTCGATGAGAAAAGAAAGAGACTCGGAGCGATGCCTCATTATAGATCAGTTTGGAGAGTACTCAACGATGAATCGCGCGATTAACAGTATAGGAAAACCTTTTTAGGACGAAAAACCAACTCGGAGGGATCGATGAAAGCCGCATCTCGGTATCGATATCAGAGATGAGCGTTGGCGCTTCCGCTTTCAGTCACGAGACGAGCACCGTCCGATGAATCCGCGTTCGCAAGACCTCCGATCAAACGCAAGTTGTGTTCCCCAAGCTAACCATTAGGCAAACGTGCCGATGAGCCGTTCAATTCATGGTTTGTCTCTTAGGGCGACGACGGCAATCGCACGGTCCCATCGACGACACCCCGACATTCTTTCATATCTCACTAGGGGATTTTCCTTTCAGCTATCTTCACCTTTTGTGCCCTGTGGAGCCATTGTTAGACCTTTACCTCTGTCCTCGGCGCTCTTTTGTATTTGCGCATTCCAGCAGAGGCAAAGACTTCTCAAAAGCGATGGTTCTGCTCGTGTTTATCGAAAACCCATCACGGAATTGTGTTTCAACAGGGGATACAGAATATCCACGAGCCTTGATCGGGAAAATGAAAATACGGATCCCGAATCATTTGACATTTCTGTGGAGCAGTCGCGATCTCGATCGGATCGGCTAGAATGCGCTGCTCCGCGTAGGTACTTGGATATTCCTGCGGTCGAGGGCATTGATGACCGACTGATAGTGATAGTAATTTGACTGTACCTCAAACTGGGGGAACAGCGTCGACGAAAAATCTCCGAAAGGGAAACTCGAGCATCGAGGAGTCGATCGTGTCCCGTTTCTCTGTGATTCGGGAAGTTTTTCAATGCGCTGCCGTCCTCAAGAGGTACAGCGGTCCCGGCGACACTGCGATGTTACAGTTGGTCCGAAGCAATATCTCCTTCTTATCGCCTGTGCCGCTTCGCCGAATTGAAGTTTTCGATTTCGGAAACAGTGAGGGAACATGTACGTATGGAGACTATTCCACTCGAGGATCACCGAGACTGAAGTCCTATGATCCTTCTCCGGTACATGGGATCTGGTCTCTCTCGCGCGGCAGGCGGAAAAACGAGGAAAAACCGGGAAAACTCGAGAACTGAAGCGTAAACTCCTCCGTGCGATTTCCGACCTCCGGACGAGACCTTACGACCATCGCGGACGACAGAAAACCGGCGACTGAAGACAATCGCGGATCTGACGAAAGTGTCCCATAACCCGCGAAAACCTTCTCTTCGGAGCTGCTCCGAAGCTTTGTTAATCAGCAGAGACATGCCGCAGGCTGCCATTGGGGGGACACCACATTGTATCAATGAAAAGCGCGGAATCACTTCTAGTCCATTTCTGACTCGGGACTGTCATAGCAGCATGACCGGAATTCGTGTTTCTAGCGTTTGCCTCAACATAAGACGTGTATCGTTCCGCGATAGGCTGCTTTCTGAACAACAGGTCCAATGGCGGAAGGGATGAGGGAACGATTTAGAGCCTGTTTTGATTGATCAGCCCCATAGCAGTGAAGGGGACCATGGGTTGGACGTGTTCGGTGCAGGAAAACCGACGGACACCGACAGATACAGATTGAGCGGCATTTTCATTGACTATTCCGTCAAGTTGTCTGACAGTCAACGTTAGGCTTGACACTCACCTATTTTGATGTCTGCGATAGCGACGCCTATAAAGGCGAGCACCAATACTGGCGCTGCTAGTCGCCTCATGGTACCTTGCGGCACGGCTGAGACGCGAAATGAGTCGCCTGGAGTGCACAGAAGTTAGAAACAAACTAAAAGGACTACATGTGCAGCCATTGCAAAAAGAGGGGAGGATGGGGCTACGAGAGGGCGCCGTGATCGACTCCTGAGCTAGCAGTTGTCCTGACAACAAGAAGGATACTCGACCGGAGCGCCACTGCCTGGAGTTTTGCGGAGCAGACCACGCGAGACTCCTTGTTTTTCGAGCCGAATTATTCAGTGCCCGAGCTCTGGTTCATGCCCATCGGAATGTCCTGAAGCCATGGCAGGTCCGCCTCGAAATGGGGACTGGGGCGACATCGGAGTTCTGCGAAAGCGCTTGATGAACACCGATTAGGCCTATCGAAACTCCAGGAGGATGACTTGAAGATGGAGATCAGGCTCCGCCCTGCTCCTGAAACCTCCGCCATCTTCCCGAGTTTTCCTGAATGGCACCCGGCGGGACACTTTGAACATGGGGATGCGCTAATAAGTTCCATTCTATCCGCTGTGAAAGAGACCCTCTCTGATACAACTTTCACTAGATGATGGCGATTGTATCGTAACACGAATGTCTCTGACAAGACCTGTCGTGTCCCTTCCCATTCCTCTGGGGATGAATTCATTCTCTATTGGCACTTCTCATGTCAAAAGGGGAAAGAAACACTTCTGAGTATTGATGGATCCATCTCCCTCGGAAATTCACCTCGATAGTCACAACGTCGCGGAGACGGAACGTTTTTGCGAGGTCAATGTTGGAACAAGATTACGTGCAATTCGTCAGCTCTTTTTTCATCCGAATGTTGTACGGTACCGCTTTTCACTGGGATAAACGCGGGGCATGCACGTCAGCGCTGATAATGCGCCGACGTGTTCGTCCGACGGTAATGACTAATGACGTTTCCTGTCACCTCTGAAGTGCGAGTCGTCAAAAAATAGGCCTCACAAAATATGAGCCTGTCAAAGTCCGACAACTCGCAGAGCGTGCGCCGTGCTGTCGGCTCCGGAGGCAATAATTTTGGAGGCCGTAATTCTAGGGCCGCTGGTCCTCGTGAATGTTCCTCCCCTCTTCTGGCGACAGACTCCAGTAGAGGGAACAGCGCGGGGGTGCTGCGAAGATCCATGCTGCGAAAGCCAGCGAGTCGTCCTCGCACAAACTGCGACATAAACAATCGTTTCCACAGCATTAACGAGAGACTTCTGCGATCGCAAGCAACAACGTTTCAATTTTGGAGTGAATATTCTACTCGCGAGACTTTCGGAAAGGAAGATCGATTGAACAGGAGGCTAGGTCCCTGACTGGGACCATCCCTATTTGTTCTCGACGATGTTGAAATTCATGTGTTTTCGGAGGGCTCCCCCGCACGGACGTATCGACTTCTAGCTTCTGCTCAATATTGGTCCGTTATTCAAAATCGCACTCTCCGAGAAAAAATAGAGCTCTGTCTGCCGTCGACACCATCTCGACTAAGCTCTCGGCTTACGCTGTCACTTCTGCCTTCGCAGACTCCACTTACTCTTCTCAAGAACGAGCACGAGACGGAGTCGACAAAAGCTCGACTGGTTTTCACAAGGCTTTGGTGCCATACAGAAGAAGCTGCGGGATCGTCGACTACCTTGAGACCACGGTTCGGTGTTTCAGAGACCTCCCCGCGTGCTATTTAGCCCCGAAACCTGAATACGACTCGGGAGATGAATTTGCGTGTGGGATCTCCGTGGTGTTTGGCCTCGATCGGCATCCCTGAAAGGGAAGGCGCTTTACCGTCCGGATTAAGGTTCTGAATCGAATCTGAATGCTTATCCGCGCGGCGAATTCACATCGGACCCCTCATCCTTCGTCACTTTCTGTAGGATCGCGCACGGATCGGAAAATGAATACGCATCACCACCGTAGGGGGATGGTCTCCCCTGAAACGGTCCGATATCGGAGAGCTCGAGTGAGCAGCACGTGCTCGTTATTTTTGTCAGGCGCTGAGAAATAATTCATTCAGGCATAAAACGAGACGAGATAAAGCATTGCCTATTGAATCTCAAATCCATATTTGAAAGCTCGTCAGGAGCCGCATGAGAGATCGATCTATTCTGCAAACTCCCCGATCTACTATTTAAAGCAGCGGGAGAGGGACCAACAAACTAATCAAAGGACCTCACACGTTTGGGGGAGGCCGAATGGGACCCGAGCGAAACAATGCCTTGCGCGTTGATTCGCGGTGAGAGCATCGGTGTTATCTTTCGGAACCGAGAGGCCGGCAAAGAGAAAGGCTTCCGGATTCGCCTGATAGCTCGATGTGGTCTCTCGTCCGTAATCCTAGAGAGACGCACGTATTCCAGGTCGCTTCGTCCTGAGGGTCGGTAGCGAGATGCAGGCCCCATCTTTCACTTTTTCTCGCGGGATGGTTGATGTGTAGAATCCATTCTGTTATGCGGTCGGTAGAGGATGCGACGAACTTCGGTGTGGTGAATGCTCCGATACATCTCAAGTTGGACACATCGTGCGGGGTGTGACGGGTCGCCAGGGAAGAAAGTCTCGCATTAAGTACTTACCACAAGCACCTGGATATTGATCCGATACCAGAGCTGACTTCGGACTCACCTATTGCTAACTGTCACCTGGAGGTCCTCAAGTCATCGGCAGGAGATGATTGAGGAACACATGCTCGGTGGTTCCTAAACCTGAGCTCAGACACCGGATGTTCGGGGGAGGAGGGGGGAACCGCTGAGACTGTAAATATTTCACGGCAATTTTCGGTGGAATTTGCAGCAGTCCGCGGCCTGCATTGTATCTCGGTCGAAAGAACGGTTCCGCTGGATGGCTCTCGCTCATGTCGAACTCTTATCGAGTTTTGGAGTACCTACCGAAGTATTCTCTTCTGGCGGCGGATATAATTCCGGTCGGAATAGACCGAAATCCGAGACGAGTCGGCGCAGAGCGAAAGAAGAACAATATCCAGCGTGAGTCACTCTGGGTCTCCACTCCCTTACAGGCCAAATTGGATCTTCCTGTCTCTTCTTGCCATCCGAATGTCAAGTCAGAAGTCCAGTCGGGGCGATTTATATCGAGTCTGACTTGAATCAAATTCGACTAGGTATGTCAAGCCGCCGCCGCCGACTGACCGCCCAAGCATCGGACGGCCTCCGATAGGGCTTTCATAGGGCACAGAATCAAGTGCGGAATTCGGATGCGGATGGACGCTGGACTCGCATTCCGGGACGCCTGCACTTCCGATTTCCGATGGACTACTTTCGCTCCATCAGGTTCCGGTTGGTGTTGCAGCTTGATCTCGGTAGAGCGTCAGAGCAAATGAGAAAAGAAGGCACAGGGAACGACTCTGGAGCTCGGCGGTAGAACACCTCTAATTTATTCGCCGTCTTCCAGCAGGAGTACTTTCGCGGCGGGAGAGCCGGAGGAGACTTTGTGGCTTTCGGTGTGTGGAAGACCGCCATCTCCAATGCTGGGTATCCGAGGACAAAGTTCAGAGATTCCTAGCTCTCTTCTCTGTTTAACAGATACAGAGATCGATCGGTTTATCCAAAGTTCCCCGGGGCAATCAATCTCCCCGGCAGCAGATTGAGTTCGGCAAACTACCCGTTATTGAACCAAGTCTTCACGGAGCACGTCACGCAATCCCCGCGTGTCGAAGTTGTGCAGTCACGCGGACGTCGATGGGAATGCGTGTGCAAGATTCCGCCGAGACGGATCGAGGGTTTGATCAAAATGAGATTTTTCTCCAAACAGTTCCATGGATTGCCGGGATCGGTCCACGAATTCTCCGACTGTGACTGACTGCCTGCTCTTTGCGATCGTGAATATTCTTTGTATTCGTGAGTTTTCTAATTCTCTTGGACGGATTATTCGCTCGTGATTAGTTTTCCCAAACTATCAACTCGACACGCGGAGTTCTGGGATCCTCGTGCATGACTCGGACGAGATAATGGAAATGATCATTAATGCGGCGACTACGCTGTGCTAAGGTGGTTGTTTTATGAGCGCAGCGTAGAGAATTCCTCTGACTGAGTAAGAGGAGCATCGGAATAAATTTTACCGAATACAAGAAAATGGCGGCTCCCGGATGGCATTGCACCCCGCTGCCCGTGGCAGTTTCTGAACAATAAGCGCACGAAGACGCGACGCTCGCCGGTTGTTTTGACCTTGACGACGCGGCACCCATGTTCGCAAGTAGATCTGGATCTTTCAGCGAGAGTTCGACAAAGACGGAGCTAGAGACTATGTATTCATTTCAAGAGCACAGGCCGATGCCCGACCAGGTAGACCGAAGTTTCGACACTGTCCGCAAACCAGTCGGAAGCGGTCATTAATAGCTGGCCCGACTCCTCCCTTCGCCAAAATTTCAGCGCAAGATTAGTCGAGAAGCCGAAGGACGCTGTCATCACTCGGACTCGGGACATCGCCGCCCTCATCGCGGGATAACCGTCGGAATTCGGAATTTTTTCACCTTGATTAAAATCCTCCTAGAGCAGTTAGACCATGCCGACGGACAGATGAAGACGAATGAGTGGGATCGGTCTTTTCAGAAAATTAATATTGTTCTATCTCAAAGATGATGCAGTGGTTGAAAATGATGAGCTCTGGAGACGCCGGCCGGGTTCGTCGAGCCGTGCATTGCCAGCGAGTGATTCGGCACGGTGTGAGTGAGAGTTGCACGGTATAAAAAGATGCGCGTCGGGGAGACCACCGAAACTTCGACGCACGGTCTCAAACAATGGTGAGTGCGGAGCTCAGCTCCAATACACATCTGGCCCCAATGTTGCGAAGGCACGCGGCGAACGGGCAACTGAGAACCAATTCCTCGTTGCAACCGAGAAGAACCTTCCCGCGGCTAGATCAAAGAGACCGGCTTCTTGAGACATTTGGATCAGAGCTCGAGTCTTGGGTAATCCTCTCATTGAAATACACCTGCTGGTTCCGAGTGACGTTCTGGTTGATAGGTTTAGGAACATGCGGGTCAGCGTGTCGCAGAAGTTCCAACACCCACGTGCTCACAGTGACTGGCAGCTGACCGTTTTCTGCAACATGTCACGAACCGTAGTTTCTGAGAAATAAATCATTACCATGGACAGGATACTCATTCTGGGAGACAATCCATGTACATTCATGAACATTCGACTCGGAATGTATTTGCAGTATAACAATGGTGAACATCGATGAGTGGTCTGTGCTTTTCAGCATTTTCCGATCCTGTTCATCGTCTCGCTGAGCCTCTCAGTGCATGCTCAAGTGCGGAGTTCTTTCTCCAGTCCTTATGCGACCTACGCCACGGAATATGATTCAGTTGGATATCGGAACTATCCCAGGTAGGTTTTGTCTTTCCATCATCCTCGCTCCCGGTAGCAGCTGAGCGATTCTCAGAGAGTAGTTGGCTAGTTTGCTCTGTCGTCAATTTCGCGGTGAAGTACGAGTTTATATGCTGCCTCACGGAGAGAAAGTAGAAGCATCATAGATGATATGCGAGCCACCGGCCGTAATTGTGTTTTCGCTGGAGCCGAATTCGTTGCGGGAAAAGCGTGGAGGACCGCTCGAGAGAGACTCCCATCCCAGGCTTCTTCGGTCGAGTTCGGTCTATCTCTTCCATCAACTACTTATCTTCATCTCGATATCAATACTATATCGCAGAGTCGCTCTATCTGGTCCTAACTCCGACGGATGACCCCTCCAGAGCGACCGCCAGGCTCCTGGCGAGGTCCCATGGGTGATCACGACTTCGATTTCTGACCTTGGTAGTCCCGAAGACGGCGGAAGTATCTCTCGTCCGAGTTTCCGTCCTGTGAGAGCGTTTATGAAACGCATGGTGTGGCGTCGACGGAGGACACCTCGACAAATATTCGGAATCCTCAATCTCTGCGTCGAATTCCGAAATCTCCTTTGGAACTGAACTCGTCGGCAGATTCGTCCTCAGACAGGAAGTAACGAAATTCTATCCGGATTCAAACTCCGTTCCGTTCACTCGAAACTGTTCCGAACTCGAGTCTGGGTCTGGATCCGATTAGACGCTCTACCGCTCCACATGCATGCCTTACAGCAGTGGTTCCCTAACTATTTTCCGCGCGGAACTCCTACTGCCCCTGGGATAAGCCGCGGAACCCCTAGCGGACTAAATATACGAATTCCTCTGACTGGTCGCTGAAATGAGGCCCTAGCTATCGGAAAACACCTCCAACCACAAGTAGCTCTGAAGCTCCGATATTTATGAGCAGCTGCATGATAGGTACACCTTTCGAACTTAGGCTCCTACAACTATTCCTTGACGAAGATTCCTTTCAATGCGACGGATGAATCTGGCATCCGTACAAAATCTCAGCGAAGTTTGGTGTCTTTCCTGACAGTGACAGACCGGCATCTAAATTGTTCCGATACTTGTTTTTGGTCGCAATGTAGTTCGAAAATTACCGCTCGCAGAGACACGAGCTCATAGTCAGAATCTGAAACTTTATTGTGTAGTCAAGCCCGCAAAATATTGTTTTAGCACAAAACAATTCAATCGCATCCCATGCACTCTCAGGTCGATGGTTGGCGCTCTTCAAACTAAGTGCACGGGCTGCTCCGTATCATCGAGTCTTGTTAGCGCGGATTTTGAGGTGGAAAACTCATGTATCTCTGAGAATGAGCTTGGAGCATTAGTTGGGAGACATCATATAGATATTTTCAAGCACGGGGGGAGCTGGAGAGCTCCCTGTCGAAGCCGCAGAAAACGCCCGGCGGAACCCCAGGGCTCCCCGTTTGGTTTATGCGGAGTCCCGAAAACAGCCCGCGGAACTTAGTTTGGAAACCACTGCCTTACAGAGCTCAAGGATTGGCGCTTGAGTAATCACTCGATTCTAGAGTTCAGCGAGATTTGCACACCGGTTGCTAACAAGTAAATCCTGTTATAATAGAATCCTATGGGTTCCAGGGAACGCGATCATTATGAGCGCTTCGACAGCCTCCACAGGCACGTAGACGACGGACATTATGATCACGGCTCGTATTACCCTCGCCATCGACAGGCTGCTTATCCGTATCCTCGTTACCAGAGGTAGCTACATGGAGACTCTGTTAATTAAAATCAAGACAGCGTTGAGGACATGCATGCAAGCAGATTCTTTCGATCGAGACGCAACTCCTCGATTTCCCTCTTAAATAATTTGATTCGCTCAAACCTCTACAGGATTTCCAGGCTCAGCGATCCTTATCGCCAAAGTGCCCAATCCGTTTACGCGAGAAATACGGTACGACAGATCCCGTTTAGGCGGACCTCTTCGATCTCGAGCGGCCGCGACTACTACCCAGTGGCTCCGAGGCAAACGGCCTACGAGCGCTTCGCCGCTCAACCCTATTCATTCGAGTATGCCGTGAACGGATTGGATGGCTCCCAGGAACGTCGAGAGAGTGGTATGATCGAGGACGTGGATACCTCCTGTTCTAGGCGGGAGTGTTGATGTCGATTATATTAGCGAAAAGTGCTGATCAAAACCGTTTTGGGATGGTATGTTTTTTGATTGACGTACATCTACGGTACGGGTATAATCATGATCGCAGGCGATGGATCAGGCCGAGTCAACGGAGCCTACTCTTTTTCGCTGCCCGATGGACGTCGGAGGCTCGTTCAATATACAGCTGACGAAGGCGGTTTCCGAGCCAAAGTTGACACCAACGAGGCTGGCACCGAGAGCCAGAGCCCCGCTGCGGTTCAATTGTTCTCCAGCGCGGTACCCGGACCTCGAGCAGCAATTCTGAGCGATCGGAACTACCAATATTAGATGGATGGTTTGAAGTTTCGCGATTCGAAATACAGCTCGAAACGACGGGATCTGTGTCTGCTCGGTCAGTAGCCGCATTCGGATCGTCCGAGGAGACTTATGGAGGAATGAAGAAACATATATTTTTGGTCTCCGCGAGCTGTCGGGTGTTTTCCTTGTAGCCGGTAGACGTCGTCGTTGCATCGCCCAACGCTTGTGTGAATGCATACAGAACTTTTGGCGGGCGAACGAGGGTTTTTGCAGGATGTCTTACATGCTTTGCGGATCGCCCTCCCGAGTAGTTGTATTCGGATGATGGTCCTGGTACTCCCCACGAATGCTGTGCTTGCTCAGTTGTCGCTGAGGTACGGTCAGCGACCAGATATACATATGTATTCTGCATTCAGTTGAGCTTCCTGTATCTCACCAGCTGGAGGGGTTTCCACGGAACTCCGATGGGAGGATATTTCAAGGAGCGGATTCCCGACGGGGATGGTTATCTCCCCGAGAGTGAAAATCGATGGCTTGTTGGTCAGCCTCGCTGACCTGTTTCAATAAGGATTCAGGAGATGCGCAGCATCGTTAGGCTTCCTTGTTCGTTGGGGAACGAGGCCCGGGCGTTCGGAGCCCCGTAAAAGGGCTGAAAACGAAGGGATCGGGGATAGCTGAGAGACATAAGGGAATCAAATGTCGAGTGCTGAGAAATATGGCGGCCGTCTTCTGCCTCCGGTTTCGGGACAGGGATCTGATCGATGTTCCGGCATTATCCGTTCTGAGATTCCTACTGAAACCTCCATCACCAGACTGGGATCGGTTAGGATTCCATGTCCATAGATCGGTCGTCGTCTAAGGACGCTGACGAGCTGCATCCACCGCGGTAGGTCCGCAGTGGATTCACTCATCCAGGTGTACTCGATAACACGACGTCCCCCGGATCGAACATTCGTTTCAAGAGAGAATGAAGTCAACGTTCACGTATTCTCAGTCCGACGGAAATCCGTAAGATTTCGCCCTCAGAAACAGGTTCATCTGAATTGGCATCCATTGTTCGAACAGAATTCACGCAGATCATGGGTTCGTCGGACCATTCCTGAGGTTGATGTGGATTCCAGCGATAAGGCTGAAGTAGAAACGTCTCCCGACTCATGCTCCCCTTGCTGTGTGGAGCATTCGGGATACCTACTGATTTTTCCCTTGTGTCTCAGCAGCGTATCAGAGTCGCTCCTGAAAAAGAAACCGAGAGGGTCCCAGTCGTCTTCCGCTGGAGAATTGGCTCCCAGGATCGTTCCCTCACTCAGAGCTCCCTGGAGATTCGTTCTCGTGCCTGTCTCCCGTTGAAGGCTTAATCGCAATATGCACTTGAATACGAAATGAGACAGCACCGACTCCATGAGAACATAAACTGACACCGAGACTACATTTTAATTCCACGCTGAAAATGTCTACGGAGGAAGTGCTTATTCGGAACACACCCTATGTGAACACAGGACCATCCGAAGCGACTTCTGAAGTCTAAGGCGGTGAGGAACGAGCTAGAGATACATATGAGGATTCCGAGATCGGTCTCGGAGAGATATTTTTATTTCTCTTAAATAGTGAGCTTCAAATAGAAACTGTGCTTGAATACATTGGCGTAAGGAGGGAGAACCTCAGGCTTTCTTGTGGGTTGAGGGACCGAATTGCCTGAAACGGCTGTCCCGTTCTCCGATGAGGGTGGCTTCTCGAGCTGGAATAGCTGACGATTGAAGGCCGACATCCGCAGGACTCTGACTCTCGGTGCCGAATTCGTTCGTTCTGATATTGGCTCTGTAGCCTCCCTCATCGGCAATATATTCTACGATTCGACTACGACCGTCTGCGAGTTGAATTGTGTAACTCCCTGTGACGCGTCCGTTGCCGTCACCTCGTTCCTGCCTGCTGTGTCCGCCTTCGCCGTCCTGGACCGAGTACTCGAAGGCGTACGGAGTCGGAGGATAATTGATGCGATCTTCAAGCGCGGCTCCACGAACCCCGCCGAGACGTACTCCGGCTGCTACTGGATAAGCCGGAACAGCCACGTTCCCGGCGACAGGTTGCAGAGTTGTCCTCACGGACGAGATCGAATTCGTTGGGTAACGCGCTGAAACGGTCGGGTAGTTTCGATCGGCGCGGAATGCGGGCTGAGCCGAAACCACCGGAACGGCGGCGGGTAGCGCCCGGACTTGCTGCACGGGCTCGAAGCGTCGCTGTGGAACGGCTCGGTACGCATACGGCTCTGGGGACTGCGGTTGCTGGATCGGAGCGTATTGCTGAGCTTGGTCGGGGGCGTAACGCTGACTCTGGACGGGGGCATACTGCTGAGCCGGACCCAAGTTGTACTCGTTCGAATATGAAGCGACGGGTCCAGAGTAGAAGGATCTCACTTGCTGACCCGCGGTCAGCAAGGCGACGGAGGAGAGAACAGCGAAAGGGAGCTGGAATCAGAAAACGGATTAACGTTTATCTCGCAACGTTCAGGGCTTCAAACATGCATTTTTAACGCTTTCGTTCCCCGCATGCGGGGGCGGTCAAGGATGGATTGTACTCGCGCACGCGACTCGGAGACAGCCGAGATGGAATATGTTGCACTCGATCGGAGTTTCTATCGGTGCACTTGGGGAACGGGGACAAATAACCACTCGCAATGCGATCACAAAAATGCGACCGCGGAATCACAGTGCACGTAAGTTCCTCGACAGAGTCACAGCCTACTCGATTGCGGTATCCGGTAACAGAAAACGTACCATCGTGTTAGTCGAGCTCAACAATGAATGCTTTGTTTCTAGACGTTCCCTTTATATAGCTGATGATGATCCCACTACAGCTAACGTCAAGGAGACTCGAGGGTGGTGATGGTATACTTGCTAGCGGTGTATCGGCGCGTATGATTCTCAGCCTTTCCAGTGGCTGACCACGCCGCGGTCGCCGTCGCCGCCATAGCCACTGTGACTGCGCTAAGCGCAGCCGTCAGGAGCAGCCGCAACATTTTCCGAAACCACGGTCCCGTGCGGGGGTCGTCCACACTTGAGGATTAGAGAAGCTACGCCACGGGACAGGGAAACTCGGAGTGAATAGTTGTCGTGGAGTTTCTACGGGGAAACCTAAGCGCTCGCTGTATTCCGTGAGTAGGTAGTCTCGACCAGAGGCCAGTCTCGATCTCTGCGTGAATAGACATTGCAAAAGAGGCCAATGGCTGGACTCTTGTTGATCGGACTTTCCCCAGCCGATGGAAGATATCTCATGCGTCGAAAAGAAAGTTGAAATTACTGCCGTCTCAGCTTCGGGGACGGCGGCGCTCGGAGCCGCGGGAGTAGTTCTACAGGCAGGCATTTTTAACGCTCAGAGTTTTGAGAGAGCTTCGGATTCGGAGCAGAATGAATATGTGTACGAGATGTCGCTCCGCGTCTCGTGGATCTCATTCCCGGCTCGAGAGGAGTCTGGGCATAGATGTCGGCACGCTCGTCGACTCGAGAAGCTCGTCATCTTCGGAGACTAGTTCATATCTGAGTAGAGCTCGTTCGATTAATGCATCGCACGCGGACAGGAGACTGAGTTGCTCGAGGAGAAGTTGCACCGTTAAATAATTCATGGGAGACTTCGATGAATCACCCGTGAGAGCGATAGAGTCCGTGACGACGATTTCACTCGCAGCTGTAACTGCAACGACAAACCGAGAGACAGATTTCAAGTTTTCCCGTCCGCTTCGCAACAGAGACATTTGAGCGTGTTCTGGGACCGGATGGAAGTCGCTATCTGAAAAAGCGCAGGCGCACTAATTGCCCTAATCTCACTTTCAGTGTGGGTGCTTAGCTCTTCGTCTCGTTTTTGTGTGAGGAGGGCCCTCAAGTCGCTTCACAACTCATTTCCTCTTAGCGGGCCATCTGCGGGCTTCGGAGGGTCTGGTCCCCACAATTAAGGCATGAGTCGAATTTTGCACAATTTGTGAGCGGCTATGCCGGAAGACCTATATCCGAATTGTCTCTCCGCTCCCGCCTACCGCTGGAGCGTTTATATTCTCGATCCGTTGTCCTGGAATCGCTTTGATGCTTGAGCTATCGTAGCCCGATTCCAGGAGTCGTCGTCCCTCCTCCGAGAGACAATCTCGCGAGACCATCTCGACCACTCGTACTCTTCTGGTGAAGTTTCCAAGTCGGCTGTCTTATCTCGGATTTCGCACCGCGCTGTAAATTTCAACGCTCCACAGAATTTAGCCGCGATGTTGACGCCCGGGAGTGACAAGCACCGCGGTCGGCAGGCTGTCTGTGAAAGTAATCAATCTGACCGCATGGGGCGCAAAGAGCCGACGGTGTCACCCATTCCGTCTTTGCTTCTTCTCAAGATGAATGGAAGCGTGGGCCCACATAGAATTATAGTTTCAATTCTCCACCCGACACGCTTCGCAAGGGCGATCAGGCGTTGTTGGTTTTTGAGCCTTCCATTCGCCACGAACTTTCTCCATGTTACGTCGATGAGCTAATCCCAGCGATCCGCGAATCTCCCCGTGAGTCTTTCCTAACTAAGGCCAATGGCCAATGCATAATTTCCTGACAGGAATGTGACCCTTATATTTTTCTGTACGAGTAATCGAGCCATACGCTCGGCGACTCGGAGTGACCAACGTCGTATTGGGATGCATACGACACTGGGCGAGAGGAACGAAGGCTATTTTGTTGCTGTTGTTTATTGCGTTGGATGCATCTGCCCCGAGCGCTCGTTATTGCTCTGCATCGCGAAGTGGAAGAAGTATCGTTGAGACTTGCCCCGAGAAGGCCATACGGCGGATGATACGCAGAGCGTGAGTAATTTATGTTCTCCTTCCGTTCCGCTCAATAAGTAGACGAGGTCATTGCGAGTCTTGCCACCCAATTCGCAATTGGATCTCTTGTCACGTCTTCGATTTTCTGACGAGCGGGGGATTCCGTGCGGGGAAGGCTCCCGGTCTTCTGCTCCTTTTCGAGAGTTCTCTCCAGGATGCAATGATCAGCCGTACGATTCCCACAAATACTCCCGCTCATGATTCATGACCATGACGCAGGCTTCGATCTCGCCCAGGTGAGTGGGAAACCTTGGGAGTGGGATTCCCAAAAGTACCGAAGTTCTTTCCGGAGAAATTCCAGCCTCGTAGCGGAGCATGGAGAAATACAGAGTATGAAATCGATATCCGGGCACCAGAAAGACATCATCCACTCTCTGGAATGCGATTCTTTCTCGCGGGAGCTTCGAGCTGGGGCCCAGAGCGACAGCTCGCTGCGGCAATGAACGGCATCGATCACAGGCGACTTCGGGAGAGGCGCTGAGGATTCCCAGCTCTAGTCGGTTCTCCGAACTGCAATAGGAATTACAAATCGTGGATTAGAATATATTGAGTCGTATTCTGGAGACAATGTCATAATACGTTTTCGTTCCGACAGGATATCCCGGAACGCCCCTCATGAACGATTCCCGTCCCTAACAATCAGCGCGACATGCAGCCCACGCCATTGCTTGTTTCTTCAGTTCGAAACACACGCACTTGAAGCAATGTACAATTCATTCATATTCATGTGCTCCGAGCGGGAAGCCCTCCGTGGATCGGCGGTACGGAACCTCACGTGAAGACTCCGTTTGTTAGTTTTGTCCAAGGTCATTTGTGACTCATGCAGCAATTGTTCAGCAGATCGCAAACATGCAGGGAGAAAAATTGCATCCGGGGGATACGAGCGTGTACAAATTAGCAAACGACCCTTGCCAGAGATAAATGATGCACGAACCGGTAGCGACGCGTGGCTTCCTGGGAACCCAAAGGAATCTCTGATGTGAGTTAGATCTGAAACTCACAAGAGCTCGGGCTCGAATGGTTCGGAGTCGTATATGAACCAATGCGCCTCTTCTGCGTGAGAGAGAATTTCCACGGGAGATCATTTGACAGCCTAATGATCTTCAGGCTCCCTGATCTGATAAGATGCGAAGAGAATCGAGATCCCGCTCATTTTGTGCTCTCGAGGTGCACCTCTCACATAGTACGCGACTTCGCAGGGCCCCCATTGAGCGGGTGGGCGGAGCTCTTTCTCAGGAAGACGTTCTCGACGGAGCCGACGGCGTAGACCGGACGAAGCCTCGAGGCTTTGCGTCACACAAGATTCATCTTGAGATTAGCGAGGGGAAATGCAGAGGAGCGGAGGCAGGAGTCTAATTCCCTGTTCCCCATGATTTATTATACCCGTATCGCCGTTGCTCGAGATTCAGAGGAGCTACCTCGCATAAGAGTGAGACGTGCGAACGCCTGCGAATGCTAGCAGGATACTCGGTCAAAACTGTGCAGCTGAATCGACCCAGACTGAAGATAACGAGCGACAAACGAGTACATGAACTTTGAACTGTGTGCCCTTGCAAAGCGACTAACGACCTACAGGTGCGGGAAGACCGGTATGAGCGACTTTTTCAAAGCTGTCTTCCGATTGGAAACCCACTTCGCTAGTCGGCGAGCCGTTTGTCGAGACAAAGCAAGAGAAGGCTGTCCTGCCGAGTTCCTATCCACTCGTGAGGCCCGATTCGGACGGCATTTTCAAAGGATTCGCTGAGAGGCATGGAGTGCATCCCTTGGAGTGGATCGTAGAATGGAGAAACAAGGTATGAGGGGAAAGAGTCCGGGACCTGTCCTCCTATAGACCTCTCCGACTCACAGACTGGATTTCGAGACGCCCCAGCGGAGCTCGGATACCCTCGCAAGGCTACTGATCTGGAGACTATCCTCGTAATCCTTCGACCCGGGGGCATATTTGTATATATGCCCCCGTATGGCACATAAGTACTGCAGTTTCCTTCTCGATCCTGTTTTTGCGTCGCGAGTTATGCTCACTATGGGAAGCTGCGTCGAGTGTTTTGCGTCAGCCCAGCGACCCCTTTTCAGTCGACGGCCGTGCAGGCTGAAAACCGGAGGATAGATTGCGAAGTCGAGTTGGAATAAGGGAACAGTTTATATCAAATAGATCAATCAGTCCAGCGATACATTGAAGTCGGAAAATACTCAAAATTAATGGTCGCAATACATTCAGGTCAGAGTATCCTACTTTCCGAAAGAGTGTGCGACACTGTTATCCACATCAGGTGTTCCTCCCTCCAACCATCCTTCGAAAATGGGAGGAATATCTCGATGCAACTCGCTGGTACCGAACAACAATTTCCCATTTGAATTCCTCAGACGAGCGTTCGAAGATCAATGATTTCGCGGTTTCTTCAAAACATCCCACGGAATCACTGTTCCTCCCTACTAACCCAATTCGCATGGCCGATCGTATCCGATATCATTGTTTCTTTCATCGTCAATGGACAACCACCTTTCATGATATTTGTATTGACGGATACAACATTATTATCATCATTAATAATATCATTCTTATCATTATTGTTCAGAATAGCATGCCAGTTATAGCGGTTAGCACGTCGCGGAGCCTGAATCGAATGGCAGCACATATCCCGCCTAGAGCCATATGAATCGCACATACAAGCTGGGAACAAGAATCCGATTATCATACTGCAAACACAATCCTCATAATCCTGGCTTGAACTGATCTGGAGTTTATATGATAGCCAAGCTCTACATTATTTTTCTTCAGTCCGATAATAAACTGTACGAATCCGTGCGACCTCTCGGCTTTGTCCCGGAGCTCAATATCGCTTTTCGATTCTCCAACAAATTTTCGCAGGCCCCACATCAAATTGACCGTTTCCAAGAATCGTAGGTCTGAGGTCTGAGGTTCGACTTGGGGAGATTGATCGATCTCAAGATTCCAGCATCGGGGCTCGCCATGATAATCACGGACCTCCGGGCACATCGGAATCACTGGAAGTCTTAGCAGGACGGGAGAGCAGGTTGATCAAACCAGCACCACGATCCTTCTTCAAAATCGAATTTCGAATTCAAATTCCTAGCATCATGATCGGCTGCGATAACTTTCGACGGTTCAGGCTGGTTAACAGTAGCTAGCTTGGAACAGGTTTCACGATGCCGTTGGCGATACGCCAGGCCGAGGTTCGTGAACAGACTTTCCAAAACACTCGAGTGCTCAAATCGAAACTCCTATGATCTAAAGAATCTTCCTAGGGTCGTTATTTAGCCAGCTAGCGTTATTTCCCCGAGTCGCAGCAGATTTTGATCCACGAGACCCGTCGCCAAAAAAAGCACTCATCGAATTGTCGCCCCAACAGCAGAGATGGCCATGCTTTTATTTTTGTAAAAAAAATATATCTGTGCCACCTACTTCTGTTGAAGGTGTTCGTACTTTTGTATTTTTTTCGTTTCATGTGTCTATATGAATCTTCCCGGTGAGCTGTCATGCAGCCTACCGTATCAACCCATACGTTTTCCCCCATCCCACCCAGGGCTGATGGCTCGAAAAAAACTAGCCCGTGATCGACTGAGAGTATCAGGACAGACCCTCCAGCGTAATGAGTTTGTCCCAATGATCCGATTTTAAGGTAAATTTAGCGATTGTATCAAGGAATTCTGTCTCGAATGTGCAACTAATTCTTTGACTTGCAGGAATTGAAGGACATTGGATCTCCAACGGGGGTTGATTGATAACGCTGGACGTTCTAGTTAGAGTTCTTGCAGGCAATGATGGCCTCTTCTCCGACGGCGGAGAGCACGGTCAGGATGATGTTGGCATCGCTCTTCTTGAGGTCATCGGTTATTTTCTTAGCCAGCTCTTCGTCGGCCGGCATGCGGAGATCGTCACGGATATCTCCTTTGTCGTCCATGAGAGACACGAAGTTGTCGTCGGAGATATCCAGCAGTTGATAGTCACTGCGATTGACGTTCGGCACGTCGATGTTGTGCGTCGATGGGCACAGATCCTCGTACTTCTTCGAGGTGAAGATGTCGATACCCACAAGGTGGACCTTAGCGTGTCCGTGCTTGCCGGTCTTCGAGGTAGTCATTTCAACAATTTTGCAAGGACGGCCTTTGAGCATTACGAACCCGTTCTTACGCAGGGCCGAGCATTGCATCGGATAGGTGGTCGACGCGCCGGAAACGGCCTGGTCGAAGTGTTGGTCATCATGATCCTCCATGGCTGACGGTGGCGTCGAAGATTATTCTGAAACAAAATGCACTGCGTGAGCCAAATCGGCAGAGTGAGCCAGGAAGGGATATGGGCTTATCGCAGGAGCCGACCGTCATCGCTTGATATAGAGATTATACATTTAGCGCAGCGAGCTTCGCTCTGGATCGCTCTCCCGGGGGGCACTGATCAGAAGGAGCGTCTTCTATTAGGATGATGAACTCGCATTCGAGAGCGCTGACTTCGAAAGCGAAGAAAGCCTCGTCGAGAAGTCTCCTCATTCATGGAGAGCAAGATAGTTTTCTCCTTGCAAGGCCTCCCCGCGGCGCGAGCAGAACAAGAGCCGGACTCGACGTCGCGGAGGATAAGCAATCACCGCAAAATCAGCGGGTGGTCAATCATTACACCGTAGTCTTCTCATTTGGGGTCCATGTGGCAGAGGTCAGAAATGCCACACTGTATCAGCTTATTCAAGGTGGTATCCACTATTCACACACGGCCGGGGTCACCGTACGGGACTGCATGTAGCCACGGTGTCAGGAGAACGGCGAGGTATCACAGCTCCGAACGTCGTGAAGATTGGACAATCGGAAAGCGACATGTCGGAAAACGCGATACGTAAATGGAGAACACAGACTTGATCTCGGAGTCGGTGCAAGACCGGGATGACGCACCAAAACTGTGACGAGGACCGATAACCACAACGCCCAACTCATCTAAGTAGTGTTTGACAGGAATGAAGCGACAGCATGGAGGCGAGTAGGAACAACCTATGGCAGACATTGGAATGACCACGTTGGCAGTCGTCGTAGAACTGTGAATCATGGACTGGTAGCGGTCGAGATCGATCTAAGGCGAGACATTAGATCGTTCCTTCGGGGGACACGTTTCGAGGAGACGCCATTAGCCGTAGTTTCTGTGTATATGGACTGGAACACGATATCAGAAGGAGACGTGGGATACTCAACACACCGGCGTTGCCACCAACGCAGTCGGGAGTTGCGGCCCCATAGACCCAGGCTCCCCCGAGATACTCAAGCTTGGTATTCGGCACCGCATGCTCGTGCAACCAGCATCGGCGTCTCATCGAATGGATAAGCACTGGCCAGGAATTCGGATACGAATCGCAGCTGAAGCATCCATGTGGCGACCCAGATCTAATCATCGTCCCGGTGTAGTTCCTGATGATTACCGATGAAATACGCCTCGGAACGGCCGACTCAAACGTGCATGTCAACTACGGGCTGCCAAGCAACAGAACGTACCTTACAAGGAAGAACTTAAGCAGAGACGAACCTCAGTCAAGCTTCGGCAGCGCCAACCTCGTGGTAAACAAAAAGCCTGATGATTCGCTAAGGCCCCGAATCAGCGGCGCCCAATTCGAAAAGCACGCGCCATCTTGTTCTGAACGCGCGCCAATTTTGAATGCGCGGCTCCCATGAGTAGGAATGGATTGTGCGACACAGCCGTAGCTGACATCCGTTGCCATTTTCCATCACACTCGATTCTGTGATGTCCCGCAGCGAGATTCGTACCCCGGTGGGAATCGGCTTGGAGACTTCGACGGAGATCCTGCTCATCGCTCGTAGGAAGGGTGCGCTGCAAGATGGCGATTCGAGTCTCGTAGGGGCCGCTTCGAGCGGATTCGAACAGGATATCCAGTCTCCGAAGCGGTGCTGGATCTTATGCGGATGAGGGCTGCCTATATTTTATCGAGTCTAGAGTCTGCCATAGAAGATAATTTCCGCGCGTCAAGAGGGAGAGGATGAAAAAAACTCAGAGCAGACGACGAGGACCGACGCGAATAATGATGTGGATCTTTGCCGAGCATGCGGCACGGCTTTCACCGCCCCCCCCCCCTTTTATCAGATTCTGGTGTGACGGGGGGTTGACTGCACACGATTCATTCCCCCAAAGAAGCGATTCCATGCCGTAGACAGAGCCCGAAAAGGGGACCAATAAACGGCGCTGTATTCTCATGCATGCTTCCCACATAGCTTCTCGCCGCAGACTTCTCCCCACCAGAGAGAACGGGATGAGCCTTGGCGAAGGGTTCACAGTAATCTTGATCGAAAAAATGACCATAGACTGATGGACCTGAAAAGCCAATATGGACACAAGACGGGTAAACGATGAGGGTGATCGCTCCATTGTAAAAATAAAACCGGGGGTTCCCGGTACATCTCAGTTTCGTATTCCTCGATGAGCTTCCGCACAAATTCTGAGCTCCCCGCTGATTTTTCCCCGGGCCTGAGGAGTTGCGGATCGCAATACAGCCCAGGTCGGGGACTGGATGATCAGTTCCCGACGGCGAGTGAATGAGCATCTCTCATGCCGGATGGATGAAGCGATACCTTGCGTGACGCTCGATGGTCCGCACACTTGACGGATTCATGAAAGACTCCGATAATGGATGGATTTCCCAATTTCATTAGATGGCAATGGGATTTCGGCAGGAAATCGCATGTCACGATCTCAATGAGCTGATTGAGCGAAAATTCGGCCATTGTGAGAGACAGGGAGTTCCAGAGTCTCAATGAAGTGGTCAAGCGCAGTTTCCAGCTTCCTTGACCTGCTCGCTCAAATCTGCTGATGACTTTTCTCCGTCTCCGCTCTGCTTTGATTCTTTCAGGACTCGCAGACGTTTCGGGCCCGCGTCTGGATCCGAATTTTTCTGCTCTTCGAGCTTTTTCTTCTTTCTGTGATGTTGTCTCGACTTCAGGTGAGCTGAAAGAGATCCACCGTTCATAACTCAACCACAGATTCCTGGCACCGGATTTTCTCCAGCCTCAAGAATATCTTGACCGATTTAGGCTATATATGTATTAAGAATAAATCCGATTCCCTCCGGGAAAAAATGCGCGGAAGAGGTTTGTTTCAAACGGTAGTTACCTTCCCATGAGCTTTGATTCATGCAAATCGTCCCGCATTCGCACACGCGTTGGGAAACCGGTTCCCTCTCGACCTCTCGAATCTCGACGGGTTTGTGTCTCGGCGTTTCGACATTGTTGAGGAAGTCTTCCACGATTTCGAGGGCGACATCCCGGACATTCTCATTCCACCTCTCTAGATCGGTCGCATCTAATTCGTAGACCGGAGGTACTCCTCTCCCGGGAGCTGAAAGAGCGTTCGGAAGCATGAAGCAATAAGTCTCACCTACCTCTGAAAAAACCTAAATCGATGGTGGCAATCGAATTTCGGTCCTGGTCTAAAGGAAGGGAAGGATACAGGAACAACAACATGTATGGTGCGCATCATATAACCTTGCAGGAATCTTCTCCTTATCCACTTCATCTGTTCCTTGGAATATCTCTTGGTGCGCTGCTTCATCAGCCACAAACTGGCTTGGAACGCCTTTTTCCCTGTGATTGAAACCTTGAATAATTCCACATCCCGAATCCCAAATAAATTCAGTGAATAACAAAAGCGCATGATGACAGCTGACGAGAGGGAGAGCTCGATTCGCAGCTTCCATGTTTGGAGACAATGCATAGAAGCCGCACACGCACCTTTTTCTGACTCCCGGAATTCATCAGAAGAGATTAGATATTTATGAAATTCCTTGAATCCGATTGACTGGAAAATCCCCAGCTCGTAATCATGCTTCGGTCGTGACTCGTTGAATTGCTTGTGGAAGTCCAACATCTCCTTGATGAGGCCTCTCTCAATCATTTTATCCACTCGCGCGTCGAGCCGTTCCTCCAAGACTTCGAGAGCAGTAGGGGATTCAATGATTTTTCTTCCTCATGTCTTCCTGGCTTCACTGATACTCTGAGGGGATCCAGGTTCCTACCTGATTGATCGCTCTTTATCAAGAGCATTAATGCCTTATCGTATCTCAATGGCCCGCCCAAGAGACCGCCTGCTTTCGCTTGCTGCTTGAGGAACTCGCTGTGTGGTTTCTTCTTCCGAGCATAGATATCCAGACTCCGTAGGACTTTCCGTCGATCGCCAGGATGAAGCTGTTGGTACGAAGATTCGAGCAATGAGGATAGTTGTTCGAGTCAGATGAGCGAATATCTCGTCTCTCTCCGGATCGATCGCATCTATGGGACGAGCGGTGCCTCAAAAATGATCGAAGCTTCCAGAAACTCGAGAATAGCTTTGTCGCACCTCATTGGCTCTTTCGGGATCGACTTCCTTCAGACGCGCGTGGAGACTCTCTGAAGATTCATCGCATCCTGGAAACATTTGCGTCGAGGCCGCGAAGTCGCTCCCTGGGATGCTTTCGGGATCGACAAGCGTGTCCCATAGAATCGACTCGATGTAATAGTTCGTTCCGCCAACGATCACGGGTATTTTTCCGGATTCCCGCAGACGCTCCACCTGGAAGACGGCGAGACCATACGTGTGACTTGACCTGTACGGTTCCATTCACCTCTGAGCGAAAGAAGAACCATCGCTGCCTCCCCCGAACTCACGATTGGCAGAGCGCGATTCCTGAAGTCTACCACGGTGAACGAATCCACTGGGTCCACGAAGTCTATTATGTGATGCGGCACTCCGGCCATTTCCTCAGCCGTTACTTTATTCGTCGTGACATCGAGATTTTTGTACACCTGCGGTCGGAGAAACTCGATCATGCGGCTTATTCCGGGCCGCGGAAGCGTAACACAGGACATTCGGTATGAATGGAGTCACTCACTTGCATCGAATCGGCGCTGATTACTTCACCCTTGAACCTCGAAGCTATTTCGATAGATAGTTGAGATTTACCCACTCCCGTAGCTCCAAGAATCACAATCACCGGCATCTTGGCGCATTTAAAAAGTCTCCGCAGATAGCGAACGATCATGTGGTGCGTTCTCTGCGTTCGAGCCGACCGCGTTGACTGGTGGAAAATTGACCTACAGCCAGTCAGGACTCTCTGGCACCGCGCGGCGACAAGTAGGCGTGCGCCGACTGCTATTCAACAGAAGGACGTCGTCATCGGACACGTTTCCGAGTCTTCAGACCGAGGAATTCGTCTCTCAGTTCTCCTGAATTCTGTAGCTTATCTTCTCAGATCTCTTCCCCTTCCCCCAATTCCGTCTGGTACGCCTTTACTCTCCCCCGTTTCGCAGCCGCGTCGAACTCTGAAGAAACGGCACCGACAGTCTCTACAGATGCGGATTCCGGACAAAACTCACTCAGACCCGTATCGAGTTTCTCCTGGAGCGAGCCAGGGTCTATGAATTCTTGAGCGAAGTCCGAACGCGAGAGTTATCAGAATGTTTTTGAATGTGGCGCGCGCCTGCTCAATCAAAATAAACAAGAGCACATGCGTTCCTCCTCATACGGTGCCTCTCAGCTTGGGCTGGAACTGGAGCACGTCGGAGTGTATTCCGTGCTTTCTATAAGCCTAATTGAATTGAACTTGGAAGTCGGAGGCACAAGGAGACGGGGCGAGAGGTTACAGGAGCTACACAGTTCGCGTCTCCAGAACATGTAGTTGCAGTGCTGCGTGCCGCTATATTGACATTATCCAAAACGCTCCGAGAACCATCTGATTCGGAAAGAGACAGCGATTCGAAAGTGAGGCAATCTCTCCCTGACGGCACAGCATCCAGTCCGGTCTCGTGTAGGTCCGCCTTGTCTTACGGTACGAACCTCTTCAGCAGGTCATAATGGCGTCTTCATCTGTCCCGATCGTTCCCAAGACCGCGCCACGGAGAAATATGAAGAGGATCATGCTCGCGAAACCAGAAGAACCTCCAATTGAGATCGATAGTGAGAGTCAGGACAGTATAGTTAAGGACGTCTGTGATTTCGTGAAACAATTTGAAAGAAGAGTGAGTCCAGTCAATCAATCCGTCAAACACACAGAAAGCATGAACCGCATGCTCGCAGGAAAGCATAAATCGTCGCGCGTGAAGTAGCCGCACCTGGTTCCAAGGCCGCTGTCTAACAAGGAATTTTCAACGCGTCACTCTTCAGGAGGAGCTCGACAAAGCAATTTTATTAGGGTTCAATTCGATTAGCCGGAAAGCCGAGCTGTGTGATGAAGATTTGAAGATTGTGCTCCTGAACGCTCAAGTCAGGCAAGAAATGTAAGTTCGTCGAGCTCGTCGAGCCGGAACGGAGTAAGAGTCGTGCGCACGCACAGCTCTATCGATGCCAAGTCCTCACCGCGGAGGCGTCTGTCGGTGAACGCTTGAGGTGCTCCGAAGTATTCCCCTCTTTTTTCCAGGATGATTTCGACGCTTTCAAAGCTTTGTGTTCTGAAAAAGATCCCTGTCGGTCGCCTCGAGAACTTCGAGCTCATATCTGAGGCATTACGACCGTTGGTCAAAGGTATGCTCAGAATCCTCAACGAACAAATGGTTGCGGCGGCTTTTACTTGGGCTCATAGATAAAATTCCGATTCTCACCAGGTCTGAAACCCACTTGTTCGGCTCTCGGGATATTGGGTTCGAGTCCGGAGGAGCTCCGGGCTCGAGTGATCCAGAAACTGACTCCAATAATCGTCAGAGAAGAGCCCCGGGCTCCGAAACGGGTTCGGGCCAATCCCCCCGTGTGTCCAGAAGTTGACTTCAACAAATACTATGTTCGCCTGACGGAGGAATGTCTCTCGCAGCCACAGAGACCGACCAGCACTGCTTTCGGAGAGACCCTGTCGTTCGCGGAAGGGAAAATCCCGATGGTCGATTATGATAGCTTCATCGGAAGCGATCGTTCCGAAGAGGCCGCTCCGAGTCCGATGGAAATAGGAGAAGTGGGAAGGAAGCCCTCGAAGTATAAACAGCCTGTGATGAAAACTCGGTAGAGTCGAGTCGACACGGCCAGAAGTTTGTTTATATCTATTTGTACATATGGAGCAGCGTCGTGTACACATGAAATTTTCCCTCAGCTCCACCCGTAGAATAAAGACCGCTCGGAAGCTCGGAGCTTTCGAAAATATATTGAGCCTTCTGCGGGATTCAGAGGGACGTCAAATTCTCCGGCGAATAGCGAGACTTGAGGCTGTTCCATCTTTCTTTACCACCCCTGCGAGGAAGACCCCGGAACACGAGACGCACTTCATTTCATCACTGCGCTCAACATAAGGGACGAGACTGATTTATTCTTATCATTCTATCCATTGGATGAAGACTTCCGAAACGGGAATGAATTACTTGTCTAATCGATCCGTCGAAGAGGTCTGAAGTTGTGCATCCTCGACATCATTTTCACCGCGCGAGGATCGTCATCCCGCCACACAACGTATTGATATCTGTATTCGAAAGGGGCGGTTTTCTGGAAATGATCTATCGACCAAAAACCGGTCACGACAGCTGCAAGAATGGATGCGGTCCTGTTAGTTTCTTTCGAAATTCACCGCGGATATCGAGAGAGCTCGCGGAAGCTCCGCACGAATCGCAGAGCAGAGGAGAAGTGCGCTCTTGATCCGAAAGATCGAGCGCTCCCGGGGGATTCACCCGTCTCTCCGAGATGTCCGCTCCGGCTGTCCGTTCACGAATTTTTTTGACGAATACCTACCGATCGAAGTAAGGCAGCCCAGAACGAAGAGATCCGGGTGTTTGTTGAACCAATATCGGACGAAGTTTCCTGGGAATACCCTCGCCGTTAGTCATCTTCATACAGTCTAGCCTTGTCCACGAGATCATTCCATTCCACTTTGTAGAGGCAAGACATTGCCCCTGATTCGTAGATCTATCAGCCAGGCAAATGACAACACTCGACGCGCGAAAAGCAACCGTAAAGGTGATTGACGTCGTTTCTGGGCTTCATGATTCCTTGCGAGGGCAGTCATAGAGAATTCAAGGATGGGATTGACAATCACGATGCCCAGCAAAGCCTGAGACAGTGTAAGGTCTTGAAGAAACTCACGCTTCGATTCGATCTTCCATGTTTTGTCCGTGGGCCTCATGTTGGATCGATTTCCTCAGAGCGGTGGAGCTCACTCAGTCAGAGCTGTCTCTCCTCACCCGACTGACCGTCAGCGGTCTAAACTTCGGAACTGAATGTAAACAAGCGCGGAGCAGAGAGATGGTGAAATTTCCCGGAGACATGATCTTGTGCGAGAAGCTCTCTCACGGCTCGCTGTATCTAGAAGCTGTGTGATGGAGTGTTCTCATAGTCCATGCGAACTTCGTTCTCGGATAACGGGCGTGAAACGGAAAGAGTTGAATCTTCGGGACACGGTCCGGATGGATGAATTCAGGCTCTGCCGGGTGATCAGCGTACTATCATCTTATCATGGGCCGATAAATTCATCAAGCATGAATTTGTGAGTTGCAATGAAATGCGTCGCGGTATCGTTCGAGGAAGACAGAATCATCGCGTCATCGAGTCATCGCGTTCGAAAATTGAGCCTCCGAGTGACCCCGCTGAAGCGATCCCTCGAATGGGCGGGAAGAACCGCCCGGTTGAATCTGACTCCCAGGATATATCATCGACATCATTGCCATTCCATCATTTAGAATCAATATAACTTTCCTCGATTTTATACATCGCAGAACTTTGAACGCGGTCCCTTTACCTTGAGTTCTTGCGCACGCGACATACCGCAGAATACTCATACCAGGCATAAGCTCGGAGAAGATACAACTCCCGGAGGTACGAGTCGTTCCGGCGATTTTTGAATAAAATTTCAACAATGAGCCCGATCCTTAATCATGGAATCCCGTCGAAAGACGTTTCTGTCGCGAATTATGGGAATGAGGGTTCTCCCACACGGTGCTCCGATTGTGCCTCGCAGGTGGTCTTATGAGCTTCCCGGAGGAAGTGGGAGAACTTGAACAACGTTAAACCCCGGCGTCACTGATAGCTCCGCGGGACCTCCCGGGACAGGCAGGAGTTACCATGAATACATTCAGGAACCGACGCGGATCCTCGAATGATCTCAGCAAAGCTCCTGTGAGAACGTTGTTCCCTATCAAGCCATCAGCTCTGAAAAATGTGGTCGAAGGTAAGCTGTCAGACGGGGAGCTAACAATATCGATGTGTAGTCTAAATGTTCGATGCCATTTGCTCATCTCGAATCCGGGACATTGGGAGCTATCTGATGTGTCTATTTCTCCCGCAGAAGACAGCAGGGAAGAGGCATCACTCCAGAGAATAATGGTGGACTACAACGCTCATTCATATTTAGGAATCATCGAGAAGAGTAGGTTCCGTAGGCGTATCCGAGATCAAGGCTTGTAGTCAGCACCCCGAATTATTGTAAGGGTACTGTCGATCTAAGCTGATTTGAAAATCGTTTACAGATGAACATTGCCGGAGAATGCAATTCTTAGTCAAGCACTTGGAGACCATGCGGCAGGACAGTCGAAATTTGGACTACGACAAGTGAGGGACCGGGGACTCGTCGTGTGCTAGTGAAGTCGTCCGCTCACGCCCCGTCGGTGTGAATCTTCCTCGCGTGGTTCGAAAGAACTTGCAAGAGGGCGTATCCGTTGAATGAATGCATCGTTCACTAAGGGGGGACGCATCATGACGGAAACACATACGTGGTTTCTGGAAGCGTCTCATATCTCGGTGCGATCAGGAGAATAACCACCATGGACACTTTTATGAGACTGGTCGTTCGAAGGCGAAAAATGCAGACTCCTGTTTTCACAGGCCGACGGTAACACGGTTCCGTATATAGGGTCTAGGGTCCTTTGTTCAATACACATTTTGTGATGAAAAGGGCGGTAACAATAAAGGTTGCTGAAAGCATTGAGACCACTGTCGTTACTATGCAGCGCTCACGGGCATCCAACCTGCGGAGGCGAGAACTCATCAGCTAGTGAGCGAATCCCGCCAGTCCCGGAAGATAATTGCCTTCTGGCTGCATGCAACAAACCTGAATAATAATCGAGGACTGAAAAGGGTACGAACCAGGGTGGCGGAACTTGATTCTGCGGTCCAATCACCATGCTGCTCAACAGAGCCTGTTGTTGGAGTTTCAGCGTGCTCATGTTATCCAAGTTCCTGCTGAGCCGATTGTGCTTCTGGGCGCTTTTAGAGACGGTCGATTTGGAACTTTTCGCCGCATGTCCCGTCGGTGCGAACTTTCCCTTTTTCTTGGAGGCTGAGGAAGGAGCTTTATTTTTCGAACTTCTTGCAAGCCGATCCGATGCGGCGGAGCCTCTCGCTTTCTTGGGCGAATCCGACGCTATCTCAGATGGCGATGACTCTCCTTCGGAAATAAAGGTCGCCGACATTCTCGCGAGAATTCGCAAAAAGCGTTCCCGAGCGATACGAACAGCGTAGAATGCGCTTCGTTTTCACTCCAGTTGAGGAAGTCGGTCGAGTACACTTTGATATCCAATCGATATCCATCCGAGCAATGATGCGAAAACGACGACTTGCATGCACTCGCGGCGTTTTGCGTAGATGCAAGGAAGTGAGGGGGACGACGCATCGCCGGAAGATCAGATAGATTTGGATGAGGGCGACTCCGACACCGGATTATCTGCGAGTTCTCATAAACGCTGGTACCTCGAATGCCCATATTCAGCGGGTATTTTCGTGTTGTTGGCGCTGGTCTCTCTCCTCGCTGTGATGGTCTTCAAAACGCCCCAAGGATATTTCGAGCCCCAGCTAGGACCTGGTGCGTTGACGCCATACGACGGGTAATGCGCTAGACCCTGGCTGAGGGCGCGCCACTGCGGGTTATCGGTGTCTATCTGAAATGTCTGCTTTCCAGATTATGGAGCGCCGTGGTGTGATGCGAATTCCACTAAGATTCCCTGTATCGGCTGTCCGGCGGAATCTGAAGTCTTCCGCGTGCATCATCATGAGGCCAGTCAGCACGGCTACGTGAACGAGGCGCTGTTCAGAATCAAATACAATTATTACACTCATTGGAATTTTCACCTGAGCTTTTCGAGTGCTGAACCTTTCTCGCGAGTGTACTTCAGCCTTCTGACCTTCGATCACGGATCTGCCGACGTGCTCTCCCTGAAGTTTCTCGTCGAAGCCAGGACGGCGGACGGATTTGTCGGCTACGTTTTTTTCAATCGATCAACCATGCACTTCTCGGTTTCGAAGCGATTGGACGCCGACCTCGACGCAAACGTGGGGAATTCGATATCCAAAGTCCTATCGGCCAAAGCAAATGATTGGACTTCTCCGCAAGGTTTCGACAAGAAGATTTTCTTCCGCATCGAACGGGGACCGCGCGGGGGTCTATTCCGTCTAGGCACGTGCTCCAGTTGTAGAAAGCAAGTGTTCGAGCAAACGATTCCATTGAAAGGCGGCTTACTCCCGGTCGATAGCGATCAAGTGTTCGTCATGTTCTGGGACGAGGGAATCGAGGACCTGAGATACAACCTGAAGTTCATGAAGCGCTGTTACGTGACTGATGGTCAGCACCAGCTTTGTCCGACCCCGAACGGTTCGTCAGTGATGAAATGCTCCGACGCCTACTTTCACCAAGAGCGCAGGTTTCCAGTCACGAAGCTCAGACCTCTGTCTTAGAGAATTTCATTCTCAGATCGCATCAGCGACCGTAGACAAGCGACATATCGAATATCTGGCGCCAATAAAGGTCCCGACACGCTCTGGCTGCATGTACTCATGTTGAGCTCCGGTAATTCGAGTCTTCTCGCGCGATGCGCGATATGCAGAGCCATCTCCCGGTGGGAACTTCCTCAGATCCGGCGGATCTCCGGCAGATTGTCGGCAGTCACGCAACACGCAACAACCAGACGATGCTTCGGTCCCTTACTTACGGAACTCTCTAGCTCTTTCAATATGGGAGAGCAACGAAGTACCGCGGATGGTTCTCTCGAATCAGCTAGCCTAGCGAGAAATAGGAAGAACGCTCCGAGCCCGAAGGCTCCG